AATGGGTGAGGTTCAGTCAGGATGGCAAAGACTGGGAGTGACCAGGCAGCATCACTGTCAGTATTAAGCTCCCAGGTGGGCAAACACAGCTTGAAGAAGGCTATGATGTATGCGGGGGTTTTGTGAGAGGGCAGACAGGGAGAGGGCAAATGCTTATTCTATTTTACAGAGGAGAAAAAGAAGGCTCGCTTGTGAAGGGTTAAATAATTTGCCCAGGTGCCTACTGCCAGGCACATCTACAAGCAGACACTGTTTATTTCCCCACAAATATTTATAAGAAATGTATGCATTTATGAAAAAAGAAAAAGCTATAGGCTTCGCTTTCTAATTTCAATGTTTGAATCCAACTGTGCCAATTAAAATGAGAGTGAAAACACAACACCCAAAGCATTTCTTATAGTCCTGCAGAATAGAGATTTTTCTGGGCAAATTCCTTTGGCTTCTCCAAATATCAGCTTTGGTCTGGCTCACTAAGAACCCCAGCCTGGGTCTGGGCAGCAACAGCCTCAGGGAGCCTGTCTGCAAAAATTTCTGTCCAGAACCATCCTTTTTACTTGCCTTCCCTGTGGGGAAGTGCTGCCTCCAATGAGTCTGAGATGCCCTCTGCCTATTTCTCTTCTTATTTGCTTCTCTACAACCTGGCGCTGCTTTCTGCCAGCAGAATTGAATTATCACCTAGTGAAGGAGATAACATTAGGCAGACCCACCGTGGCTGGTGGAAAGCAACCTGCAGAGAGATGGATGAAGAAAATGATACTCACTATCTGGATGAGACAATGGAACAAGGGTGGAAGAGCTAGCAGGAGCTGCTGAGGAAAGAAAAATGAAGGTGAGAAAAAAAGAGATAAAAGATCATCAAGGTATACAGATACTGCATGAAAAATCAGAAGAGCCAACCCTGGGATGTCAGTACAAGAAGTTGAAGTGAGTTAAAATGGGTAAGAACACCGTGCATGAGAACAGGTGGCTGGAGGAGCAGCAGAGAAGACCAGGGCTGTCTGACTTCAAGCCATAAATCTGCGTGCCTGACAAGCCTGAGGTTCAGGTAAGGGATTGGGCCAGGAACAGCTGCAGAGGCCTTTGACCTGCTCAGAAACAAATAGCCAATTCAGCAGGAACAGCTGTCTCCAGAGGATCAGAGGCACAGGAGGAAAGGGAACCTACATCTCAGCTTAAGGTGAACAAGGCTTTGGTTTTTCCTATTAGATATTTCTATATGTGTTTGTATATTGGCATGTATTTACATTAATGGTACATATTTGTAGCAAAACGCATATGTCTCACTCCCTAATTTCAATATCTGAATAAAATGAAAAGGACGCCCTACTTATTAATGTTTACTATGGGTGAAGTTCATGACTGTTTGGCATCTGGATGAGAGAAAATCACTGCTGCCCCCCTCCAAAAGCCTACAGAACATGATTCCGTGGATGCTGCTTTATGTATGAAGAGCAATGCAAATAAATTGTGTTATTCTCACTAAACAAGTTAAGTCTAACCAATTTTACGCTTGGAAAATGGGTAAAACTGGTGCATACAGGACATTCTGGACAGCCCTTGAGCTTTCCATTGGCAAATATCCCCATCCACAATCACAAACAAATTCCCTTTGAGAGCTGGATGAAAATTTGGAAAAACATCACTGTATCTTCATCATTGCCTCAACACTCATGCTTTGGTCTTCTTTTTACTTTCCAGGTGAGGCACCTCATTAAACCATGCAAGTACAATGTCACTGGAATCAGAGCAAGAGAGGTACCAACTCACCATGATTTGATGGTCTGGTTAATTCAGGTAAAAGTGGATCTCTTTCTCTTTTATTTGGCTCCAGTTGTTTGCATAATTGCCCATATTATTTTGGCAAAGGGCTAGATGTTTATGTACTTTAACCACAATAAATTACAACGCATTTAACTTATACTTGCAATGTGCCATCTAGGGGGCAAACTGTGAAAACAAAACCCTCAAGATGCCTCTTAAAAAGCAGAGACTCATTCATATATAATCTTTATGCCCTGGAAGGAATCATTTACTTTGCTTCATGGTACAGAAGCAATTAAGAGGTAATACTCAGGCAATGGAATTGTGCAGGTGCGTGGCTCAGTCATGAGGAGGAGATTCATGACGAATTATGACATCATCTATTCAGGACCTCGCTGCTCTTACAGGAAAGCAGCCCTTCCTGACGCAATCAGAGATTTTCTGCTTTCTACCTAAGAGTGTCTTAACAGCATGAAGATATTTGTCTTAAAAACACATGTGACAGAGGCATTTTCTCAGGCTGCATTCCATTTGTTTAAGGTCACAGCTTCCTCATTTTCTTTACATGCATATTTATGAACTGCACACAAGAACCTCCAAAGAGAGGAGCCATGATTTCCAATCTGGCGACTCAGAAGCAAGAGTCCTAGAGGTATTTGTGGCTTTGGCTAATTTCATCTGCTCATCCCTGCTTTGACATATTCATGCCTCCAAATGTGGAGAAGCCTCTTGTGGAACAGAGGCAGCAGCCCCGTTATTGAGGCATGTCTGTGGACTTCAAGTGAGGGGCTAGTGAGAAAGGCACTGGCTCTCATCCAACACCTCCAACCCCAGGGTCTGGCAGCAATGGCTCCGTGTCCTGTGGGCTAGCTCCCACTGATCCTGTACCTTCTCTCCCTTGGGGTGAGGGTGCCCCCAGGGCCTAACTCCAGGGTCATGGGTGCACTGTACATCTATACCCCAAAATTACAGGGTGGGATGCATTGTCAGTGGGTGAGATGAGCCAGTGACAGAGACCCATGCCACTGGTTCTGGGGGCACGGTGCAAGCACATAGCGAAACTTCTGTAACTGCTGAGGGATGATTTTGTTTACCTAAGTTCAGATAACCTATGCACCTTCCAAGTAATAGGAGTGAAAACCCAGAGAAGGTCACTTCTAAAACCTGCCCTTACTTTCTAGTAGCAGTAAATGGGTCCAATAGCAAGTAGGCTACTCACTGCTTAGTAAGTAGTAATCAGTAAGCTTACTGGTGTCTCCCAGCTATATCCACTTCAGGACAGGTCTAGGGCCAGCATGATGCCCTCTGGGCTAAGTTCCCACTTTAGCAGCTCTAGGAAGGCTATGAGCGTGCAGGGACAGGCCGTAATAACAGACTTCAGTGAGAGTATGGTGTTCCCGCCTATTACCACCTCTTAGCATGCTCAAGTTCTTGAAAAAGGCACACTCATCTCAAAGGCTATGCCATGGTTCTCCTTATCTAGAGGAAGTTTGCTTTTTGAATTCTTTAAAGCTTAATTTTATTAAATGATTGAGAAAACTGACTTTTCATGCCACTACTGATGCCTGCCACTGTATTACTCATGATCTACTTGGAATGGAGCGCTGACCCCGTCATTTTCCAAAGGGTTTCTTGGAGCCTTGTTTAGTTGCCTATTTTCATAGTATCAGACAAAAAAAACAACAAGGTCTAGAGGTCTCCTTTAAAAAAAACCAAAACTAAGCACTGACTTTTTAAAACAGCAACTGCTACAGAAATTCTCACCTTTACAAGGGCTGAGCTGGCAATGAATGAAGAAATTGACTTATAGCCTTTAAAGTTCAAGTCCCAGTGACTGATTCAGTTCTCAAACCCCAGTTACTGGTTGGAAACTCAAAGGCGGCCTCACCACAATAAGCCCACACTCATGTACTGATACCATTTAGAAGAGCAGGCAGGAAGACTCGGGCTAAGAACCAGCTACAGGACCCGCGGAAGCTGCTTTCACACCCAGAGCTTCTCCTTCTGCATTCTCTCAAGGAAGAGCTGTCAGCCAGAGCAGACAGCTGTTAGTCAGTCCTACCTGTCAGCTCCCTCCCCGTTCTGTCTCCTTCCAGAACTGCTTCATTCAGGAGCCAACTCTGCTGAGATAGTTAATTTAACACTTGCTCAAAACTCCAGAACGCCTACACCAAGCTACTTAGTTTCTGCTATTGCTGCAATATTTCTGAGTAAATTTTTAAAAGATGAGCTTTGCTGAGTGTCTTTCAGGACCTAGGAACTTTTTATGGAAAGAGTGTACAGCTTTCTTGGAAGAATACCTTTTCTTCCAAGTCTTTCTGGGTAACCTGTCTTTCTACTTCTGAGCTCAGCCTAGGAAGGAGGAGCCATGCCTCAGCAGAAGTGAAGCTTGGAGGCATCTGTGCAGGCTGGGGAGACTGGACCACGGCTCCATTCCCAGAGCAGCTTCCTGTCACCCCTGCTCCCTGTGTGTGCTGGGTACAGCTTACACAATTAGGGGGTCCTTTCCTGGGAGAACCACCTCTCTCTATGTTTCTACTTACTAAGAAGCTGGTTAGTTTTCCCAAACGTGGAAATGGCCGGTTGCAAGTACCTCGTGCTAAAGAATAGAGCTGACTGGAACTGGGAGTTTGACTCCCCAGAAGCTGCCCGCAGGACATCCCCATGGCCTGGAACCAAATCCTATTGACTCTTTGTAATTGCAGCTGCTGCCTCCCCCACAGACCCTCCTCTTGCCCTCCAGCTCCCACCACCTGGAAGACAGAAATGGAAGGCACCACAACCCAATTCTTTCATCTCCTAAAAGCGCATGTGGAAATCCTTTTAAGTTCTCTTTTTCTGTGACAGGATTTTGACCAGAGGCCTGGTGACCACGTGGTCACTTCTCTTGGCATCCTGGCTAAAGGTGAGGTGGTACTATAGCATATATCAAGAGACCATCAGCAGATGCCACCATGCTTGACTCGGCAAACAACATTGTTGCCACAGGATAAATGTCACACAGAAGTTAATAAGTAAACACAATTTCAAAAGACACAAAAGTTGCATGCTCTAAAACAGGACAAGGGTTAGCCTCTTTAAGAGGAGCACAACTAACTACGGTCAGTGTGGTTAGGCCCGGAGAGTAGCATCTACTTCAGCCTCTAGGGGACAAAAAGGAACTGGACTAAAATGAAGAACTAGAACTAGCAGATGTTAACACTATAGAAACAGGTAATGAGGTATGAAGAGGCACTTACGTGGAAGAGGGATATCTGCATTTCCCATGGATGGAACACAGGCAAAAAGAAAAGACAAGAGACAGACCCAAGAAAAAAAAATAAAATGTAAAAGAAATGGCTAGTATCCGCAGGACACGTGGCGCTAGAAACTCAAATTATCAAACTACTTCCAATCCAGAAAGAAGCAATTCCTGTAGAAGGAAGACAAGACAGGCTTTCTACTTCTGGGAAGAAGTAAGGGGATCTCTCTGGCTTCAAAGAGAAGGAAGCAAAGGATTCCCTGGTTTGCTTTTTAATACCAGGAATCAGAGAGGCCCAGGGAGCTCAGTGACCAGGCCAGGAGTTGAGTTCTACAGCATCATCTTCAGCCAGATGGACTCAAGATCCTCCAGGGGCAGTAAGTCAGTTCTGGGGAGGGATGTTGCAGAGCAGAGTGTGCCCAGGGCCTGGCAGTTTGTGGGAAAGGAAGGGCAAAATGGTGGGCACACTCAAACGAGAGTGGGAATGATGGCAGAAAACAGAACTGCATCCCTGAACGGAATCAGGAAGAAGCCGCTCTTGAAAGATGATGTGAGGAAGGGAGACCCCCAGCTGCGCTCCTGGTGTGGGAAGGGAGGAGGAGCAGAAAAATCACAGGCCTTGGCATCTTTTTCCCTTTTGCATTGTTAAGACTTTGCTCCTGCTCCTGCATCCTACAGCATTCTCTGCTCTCTTATCATTTAATATCTCTGCCACATCATAGTCCCACAACTAATTATATGAACTGTCACTGCTTCTACCCTCTTTCTTCAAGACATAAGGTGCTTTGGGCCTTTGTGACCTGTGTCAGAAAGCAACCCCCCCAAATCCCTCTACCACACACTGCTGTGTTTCTCCCCTCCCTTTAATAACATGTCAGTGGTTTCCCCCTGGGCTGTTATTCTAAAGAACTGGACCAGCTACTCTGACAGTGTCACCAAGCCCTCGAGAAAGAGAATAAAGGGATTTAGTATCAGTCATCACTGAGGGCCACAGAACTAAGAGGTGGGACCACCTTGAGCACAGGGACCTGAAAGACAAAAAGCTGTCATCTGAACAATGGTGGGACAGCTCGGGGTTCCCCACTGCCTCCAGGAGGAGAGGGTGTGGAGGGAGGCGGGGCAGCTGGCTTTACTTACGGACTGGCTGAGTCTTGAACTCGGAAGCTGCGCTGATCTCGCCCAGACCCTTGCCATTGAGGGCTGCCAGTCGTACTGTGTACGTCGTCTCAGGCTTCAGGCCCACGATGGTAACGATGCCCTCCATGCTGGCTGTTGTGGGAATATCAGAAGGATCACAAAGCATAAAAAGCCCATTAGTAAAATGGTGTAGCTGCTGTGGAAATCAGTATGGTGGGTCATCAAAAAATTAAACAGAATTATCATTTGATCCAGCAATTCCACTTCTAGATATAGACACAAAAAATTAAAAGCAGAGACCTGGAATAGATGTTTGCACACCCATGTCACAGCAGCATTGCTTACAGGAGCTAAAAGGTGGACACAACCCAGTGTCCGTGGAGAGATGCACAGAAAGACAAAATGTGTTGTGTACACACAATGGGGTATGATTCAGCATTAAAAGGGGAGGAAATTCTGAAACATGCTATGACATGGGTGAACCCCGAAGACATTATGCTAAGTGAAATGAGCCAGACACAAAAGGATAAATACTGTATGATTCTACTTATATGAAGTGCCTAGAATACCAGCTACATAGAGACAGAAAGTGAAGTGGTGGCTGTTGGGGCTGGGGGAGCAGGGAGTAGGGAGTTAGTGCGTAATGGGTATGGAATTTGGGTTAACACAAAAAGGTTCTGCAGATGGACCATGGTGATGGTTGCACACCCATGGGAATGTACCTGATGCCCTTGAACCGTATACTTAAAAATGGTTAAAGTGGTACATTTTATGTTACACATATTTCATGGGATCAACCTGCCACAAGGCTGGTATGAGGTTTCAGAGGAAAGTTAGGGAGGTTGTAGTCCTGATGACATAGAAATCCCTCCCAGAACCTCCTGACCCCTCACCAAAGCCCAAGAAGAGATGGGAGATTCTCTGGAGGAATGAATTCTCAGTGAAACTGGGCTGGAAGATGCCTCTGATTGGCTATGACCCCATGTCATAGCCCATTCCCAATTCTACCCTGTTATCACCACTGGAGCCAGGACTAAAAACTTCTACAGAAAGAAAACATACTTCACTAAGTTATTTCCATTTAACCCCACAAGGGGAGTGAGACATAAATATACTCAATCCCCTGGGAAAAACAGTCTGGGCTCAGAGTCTTCAAGATTGAAGACATTCAAGGGTCATTTTAAAAACCTTTAATTGGAAATGTGGCACAGGATTAATTTAAGAGCAGACGTGTCTTGCTGGCTCCACTTATCTGGTTAATATTTTAATATTATAATCACATGATGGTCCCTGAATGTGCTCAGGCAGGACCGCCAGGAGACAGCAGGGAACCAGTAGCAGGTGTCACCCACACCTGCAGAGCCAGGTGGACTGGGCGCATCTGGCTGTGCTCAGCAGCTAGGCAGGGCCTCTGCTTGGCATGCAGTTGGGATGGCCTCCTCCATCTGGGCAGGGTCATGGGAACCAGGCTCTGAAGTGCCGGGGGCAGAAGGCCAGCACGTCTACATGAGATGGGACCATGCCCTGATTCTGAGGGGACGGTGATGATGTTGTAGCACGAACCCGATGGCACATGATGGCACCTGGCCACCCCCAGTAGGCGAGAGAGGGGTGTGCTACCCCACCCAAATGGGCAGTCAGGGTTCCAGGATCTGATAAACATCGGGGAAATGTGTGTGCCCAACACTGAGGGACTCATCCATCGAAAGAAGCAAAGATGTTTCCCAACTCACCTTCCTTGGCATCATACCACTTGAAGTGCCACATTTCCTCCCCAACTGCTCTCCACTCAGCCTTGTATTTGAGGATGGGCACCCCGCCTGTGGCCTCTGGTTCATCAAACTGCACCTGTGCTGTGCTGGAGTATGGCTCCACCTGGTCAATGGATGGTGAAGATGGGGTGTCTATGGGAAGAACACATATGGAGACCCAGGTAAGCTCAGGCAGGGCACAGCTTGCAATCACAAAGCACAGCACTCTTACTTCTGCTCAGTCTTGAAATCCTGTCACCTGCATCCTGTCCTCCCGACCCACCTCACTATATGATTTTCTCCCCATGTGCCCTGTACCCACACCCTCAAGCCTCCGTCTGTCCTGCTTCCTGACCTCTGGCTTGGCTGATCTTGGCTTTTGCTTCTTTCACTCTCCTGACACCAATAAAGAACATAAAATGGGTTGGCAAGAGTTTGATGGGTGGTGCATCCATAAGGGGTGCTCACCTGCTTGGACAAGAATAAATTCCAAAGACTCCTGTCCGATGCGGTTCACTGCAGTGCAGTTGTAGTTTCCAAAATCATTTTCAGAGTCTGGGGTCACCTTTAGAAAGAAGGAGCTCTTGGTTACATGTCCCTTGGGACGGCTGCAGCCTCAGAGCCCTGTTTGTTAGATTAAATTAGTAAAGAACAGAACTAGTAAAGCAGGAATCATTAGCTCCCACTCAGCCTTAAGCCAGAGAGAACAGAGAAGGGGCTCAGGAAAGAGTCACACTCTACCTCCCAGGCCCTGAGGTTGCCCAGGGAGAGAAAGGGGACTGTACCAAAGCTCAGTTTCTTCTCTGGCTAGTGGTTCCCAGCTCAGGACATGCCAGAAAAGCAAGAGGGATTTTAGTTGCATATAGGAGCTCATCTATGGTCAAACGGTGCCTTTTCCACCCTGTCCCTTGTGCTACCCCACTCACCTCCAGGTAGCTCGCAGAGGGTGTGTTGTAGATCTTGATATTGCTGTAGTTGGAGCTGGGCAGCAGCTGACCATCTCGGAACCATGAGATTGTGGCACTGGGGTAGGCAAATACCTCGCAGGTGATGTTGACCTGGTTCCCCTCCCAAGTGTACACAGCCACAGGGCCCTGCAGCTTGGGGGCATCTGCAATGAATGGCAATGACCGTTGGGAGAATGCCACTATCGTGGAGCCCTACATATCCTGTCTCCTGGCACAGGAAGGTGGGCGTGCCCCGAAGTAGAGCTCTTGCCAGGCTGCAGTAGAGGTTGGGGCTGTCCTGGCAATCCTGTGAGCTGCACGGCAACGCAGAGGGCATGCAGGCTTATAAGAAGCCTGGGGATGGTGTGAGGAGGTGATCTGGGGACACAGCTCTGAAATGGCCTAGGGCCAACTGCTGAGCTCACTAGGTGCAGGTTGGGTCCCAGCTGCTATTTTCCCCTTTCACACAGACCCTCCGTGGCCCCTGCCCACCCGGGTCTTCCCACAGTTATTTCTCACACTGTACTTCGAGGTACATGGACTGGGAGTCCTGGCCGATAGTGTTGCTGGCAGTGCAGATGTATTCTCCAGCGTCCGTGTACTGGATGCTCTTCAGGGTCAGGGACGACACACGGGCATGGCTGCGCACCACCATGTGCCCGTCCAGAGTCTGCCAAGAGGGAACAAAGCATGTCAAAGCCCAAGGCAGGCCAGGGGTAGGCAACCAGGCCACCGCTTGTGCGTGACCAGCCTCACACCCTCTCTCCCCTCTCTGCTAATATCTAAGTTTCACTTGAGGTACCAAATAGTGGGAGAGGTTGCAGAGAGCACCATGGGAACTGGGGTGTATCCAAAGCAGAAACTGGGACTCAGTTTATGTCAAGCTGCCTAGCTGTGCGCCAAGATGATTTGGATCAAGGACAATTAAGGTCTCAAGACGATTTTGTCTGGCATGCCTAAATGGAAGCAAAACCCCAACCAGCAGGTATTCTAGCAGAAGCAGCCCTGCCTTGTGAGATTTGGGAAATGTGTACTTCCCTCCTTCCCTTGCAGCAGTCTGCCTGTCTGCCAGTCCCATGGTGCATGCACACACCTGAGAAATCCAAATGTGCCGAAATGTAAGAAATTAGATAAGAAACCTGTATTTATTCAGATGCCTCACTTTCCTGGATGCTTAAAAGTAACATGATTTTATTTTTTAAAAATCCCAACAAGTGAGACTGAGGTCAGGGGCTGCTGAGCTGGAAGTAAGGGTAACTGGGTCCTCTCCCCAGGGATGGTGCTACAGAGAGTCCCAGGTAGGTCTGGGATCCTTGGCACCACAGTCACCACCGTTTTCTAGTCCTCAATATTATAATTATCTTTCTGAGTCTCTGGAATTACAGTGATTGGTCAAAAAGGATGTAAGCATATGATTCCTGGGCAATGGGCACTAGAATATTTCCAAGGGCCAAGGGTTCCCCCCCTTGACACTCTAGGTAAAATGGCTGCTGGTCCAGGAAAAGGCTGGGCATGTGGTCCAAGTTCAGATCCTCCAGAGAGTTGGTAATCTAAAGGAGTTGTATTCTTCACAGGCTGGGGCACACTCTTATCTCCAGCATATAATATTCTGTGGAAAGGGGCAGGTAGGTGAGCAGTCCGCCTGTGTATGACATCTGTTATCCAATGAGCTTGGGCCTTTAAAGAATGAAGGAACACCCGACTTTAGATTATTTCGATATGCTGGTTTGAAAGCCCAAAACCCAGAGCTGCAATGTCTTGTAGCAGCTAGTTTGGGAAACTCAAAAGCAAGGCACCACTGGCCTTGGCAGCAGTCTCAGCGGATCTATCAAACAAGTCACTGCACCCTCACTGACAGATCTAATCCATTTCAGCCATTTAAGCCCCATCACATTTCACAGCTATTTCAGGAAATGGTTGTACCGACAGCTATACCTTTTTCTCCCCTTCTATCTGGTCTCTTTCCTAAATTTCTCTTTCTGGAAATTTTTCTCATTTAGTGAGTCAACAGACCAGCAGGCAGCCCATTATAAAGAATGCTTTATTTTGCAGTGGCTCATGACAGGATTGATGATGGGATTATTTGCCAGATGCCCAGTTCTCCCTCTTAGGGGCACAGATGTACTCCAGGGCACCTGGACTACCTCCCTCTGAAATTTTTACTCTGGCACTGGGACAAAGTCAGGGAGTGCCACTTGAAAGCAGTCCAGATCAAAAGTCATGTTGATAATTCAGGCTCTGGAGGAGAAAGCAGATGAACTCTGGGCAAGAAAGAAAAAATCATAATGGCAAGAAGACCCTGTTTTGCAAGGTATGAAGGGCAATTATAATTATTCTTCTCATCAAAACACTTTTGTCTTTCTTCTTCCAGGGAAAAGGGCTAAAGCTTTTCAGAACTAACGAATGACATGGCCATAACCCAAGTTGCCTTTTGAGCTCATCTGAACTAAAGGTCTTCCCTCTGAATGAGAAAAACAGGAGGGAATGAAGCCTCTGGGCCCCATGGGTGGCCCCACATAATTGAAAGTCAATTATGTCTGGAGTGAGATGTAAAGATAAGGACACTTCTGGAAAAACCAGAGTGTGCTGTCTGCTTAATGGGAGTAAGACCATTATTTCCACTTATGATAATAATTCTCTTAATGTCATCTTAATGCTCCCTGATAAATCTCAGCTCCTCCTTCAGCCAGGTCTAAAGCAGAATGACAGGGGGAATATGTACAAGGCCAGGCAGAAGGAGCTCTGCAGCTGCTCAGGAATTATCCGACTAACTAACCCTTCTCTCCCTTCCCCAATCCCAGTGGGTCTATGACTTTGAAGCAATAAAACACCCAGCCTGTGTCAGCACTAAGCGATTCCTGTGCAATAGGAGGGAAGCATCTCAGTGAGGATGTGCCTAAAACTACAGTTCCTACGACGTGGAGGATGGTCTAATGCAAAGACAGCTTGTAATGAACTAGATTTGATGATGGCAGTGTGTTCATGTGCAAAAATTAGTATCAGTGCCTGGGGACAGGCAGTCAACTTTTAAATATTAAACAGCATTAAATATTTATAGCCATGACCTGAACACATGAGTTATGTGTTTTGAATAATTACCATTTTTAAAAAGACTAAGAGGATAGATTTACCTAATTATAATACAACCTACAGGATTGCTTGCTGGAGTCTACATTTATAGCATTACAATGTCAAAGTTCCATCTGGAGAAGAGACAAAAGCTACCTTTTTAAAAAATATTTATCAGTTAGATCATTGAACCTTGTCTAAAGTACACTGGTTTTTGTTTCACCATCTGTTACTTAATCATACAAATCAGGTGAAAAATACTGGCTTGGAAGTGTAACAATGAAAATCTAAAGATTAATATTTAGCTTCAATTTTCAAACTAAGTCCCATATAACCCAAAATGAAGGAACAAGTCAGAGAAATTTCAAAGGCTAAAGGCTACTGACCTTTTAGAAACATGAAACTATTTGTGCCAAATCATTCCAATCTCATAAATTTAATGCTCTATGAAAGTAGCATAGATAACATTTAACAACCTGGGAAAACCAACCAGAGATCATTCGCATTGCTCCGAGATAAAGTGGGATGCGGTACTTTACCAAGACCAATCATTATAAAATAAGTGAGCAACAAGATGAGTTGAGCTGGAAAAGAAAGGACTGAGTGGGATTTCTGATCACTAACCCTGTGACTTCACGATCCAAAGCTGCGTCAAGCAGGTGAAAGTCAAAAACTATCACCATTTCAAAACATCGGCCTTCGAATTGGGGAGATTTATTTCTATAATGACCTGGATGTGATTTCACCAGCACCGTCAAGAGAATAAGATCCAGTTTTAGAAAATAACAAGGATTTGTTCGTCCACTCCCAACACAGCTTGCTTGCTCATCCTAAAGTGACACTATTGCTAAGTAACATCTATCACTATCGACTTATTCTTTAATCTAACTAAATTACTAATTAGTTTAGCATGTCTGGTTATTAACTATAATGATGAGTTAAACTGCAATACTTAATGGGAGTAATGCAAAACTAAAGACTGGCTAGTGGTCAGGTAAGCTATACCTCTTGCTTCTCTGGTCGAGTCCACGAAGCCTGGAGAGAACAAGATATAAAACACAACAAGAAAGCGGTAAAATTTTACAACATGTTGCTTCAGAGAATTGATGTATCACACGGCATTCCGTGCACATGCAGCTTCTTTCTAACTCAGAATTTTTCCAAGGCTCACTTTCAGTGGTGTGTTTGTTACCCAATACAATTTAGTAACTAACTTATGTTCGGCTCCCCCCCACCCCACCTTATGCACACGAAGATGTATAATTCAAAGGTAAAGCCTTGCCTCATCTTTGGTAGACAGACAGACACATGGACACCAGCAGATGCATTATATACTGCTTCTATTCCAAAATGTCTTGGATATTCTTCATAGTATTTGGTGACACTACTTGTTCTAACCACATAATCTAGAGATACTTATAGAGTAGGTTTCCTCCTTTGGATTTTATCTGACAGCTTATCATAAATAAACTAACGCCATTTTGTGCTCATGCATTTCATAGCTCTGCATGCATACTATCAAAAATCAAATTTCTATTGTTATAAAAAAGGAACAACAACAAGAAAAAGAGCATAGAGGTTCATTAGGAATGTGGGGAATGAAGTCCTTAAGACTCTGGGTCAGGAAGCGTTGAGAAAACCAGGCTCTGAATGCTGTGGTGAGGCCCCGGGCAGTCCTGCGAGGCAGAGCAGGGCCCAGGTGGTGCGCAGGCCCGAGCACGCACCACCATCATCACGCATGGCGTTTTCCACAAAGCGAGCCAGCTCAGGGACAGAGAGGATGGGTCTTTTCCTCCCCACAGCTAGATTTTTCTCTTTTTATCTGGCACTTGGAAATCTACTCTGCGTAAAGTTTTTGTGTGTTCATGTCAGAAGTCAGAAATATCATACCCTGCATTGTTCTTTCTATTAAATGGCATGACTGCCTGATTGTCCCTGTGTTGAGATGGAAAAAGAATAGAAAAGATAACAGAGACACAGCAATGCAATCCAGAAAATGGAAATGAGTTAGCAAACATTCAGTAAGACTCCACCGAGTGCAAGGAGCTCTTGTGAGAAACATGAGGGTGGAAATGTGGGATTATGTCACACGATGTTGGAATGAAGAAGAAAGTGGGAACAGAGGAACAGGCATAGTAACAGTGGGCCAACAAGTCGAATGTGGTTGCCAATCCCACATCATTTAGAAGTTTGTCTGTCACATGCCAGGGCTGCACGAATCAAGATGTTTTTTTAGGGCCTATATCATATGGAGTTGTTTGTTTTTCAGGTCTGAGCCTACTTGTTTCTTCTCCCAAATCCTTATGGTCTTCTGGCTTTTAGAATAAGTAGTTGCTAGTCACACAATATTTCTAGTTGCTTGACCTTCCACCTGTGTGTGATGGGAGGATTGGATACGCCTTGCCCCTAACAATTTGGTGAAGGTATGTGGCCTACTTTAAGACAACCTGATATGCAAATACTGACAAAAAACTTAATTAGAATATGATTAGTACAATTCCAAAAAGTGTTAGCTCCAGGTGTTTATTATCTTACAAGTCTGGAGAAACATGTATAAAAATTAAAGTGAAACATCCCTTCACTTATTCTAAAGTATTCCCTGTTAGACATCTGCCCACAGCCTGGGTAAGTGAGCCTCTGATTGCTCCACACAGGCACCTTTTCCATCTTTAAAAGTGAGCACCTGGTTTATATTGAATGAGGAATTCTTCCTGGTGATAAAAAGCTTCAGTTTCCAGAGAATTCAGAATTTCAAAAGGTCTTTTATTTGTGGGCTACTTGGTCTGCTCAAAATTCGAGGTTTGCAAAATGCTTTTCACTTTTTCTGTGTCTCTTTTGATCTCAACTCTTCGCCCCTGTCCTTTTCCTTAAACATTGAGGCTTCATATGCTTTCCTTTACCAGTCATTTCAAAGGCATGTTTAAACAAGCACACAGTAAATTTGTTCTGCCAGAGACAGATGATGCAAATTATCATTGGGAAGTTCCATTCAATATGGAAATAGTATCGGGAATTTAGTGCCACTCACTCAAGTGCCTGGCAGCAGTTAAAGTCAGTGTGGGCAGGAAGAGTAATGAAATGGTGCGGATGCACAAACTTTCTTTGTACCTGCACTGTCACGGTGACCTCCATACCCATCAATCACACCAACCCACTGCAACATTCAAATATGTTTTGTTTTTCATCAACATAATACTGACCACTAAGAAATGAACTACCTTTCAGACAAAGGATCTACCCTAATGGTTGTCAGCAGCTGTGGAGTGAAACCAACTCAACTAGCTGAAGCTCAGCAGATTGATGATGATCCATTTCAAGCAAGTGATTGGACTAAGGCTAGAGACATGACCAAAGACAGGGTATGACATACAGGCTCACTGTTCTGGGTTTTGCTTTTTTTCCTTATTTTTTTAATGAAGAAAAACATAAGTATTCCATTAGAAATTCACTATGTGTCTATGGTTGAAAGCCTTTTCCCCTCTCAGTGAAGCTAAGGACCAGGCTGCTCTAAATAGCTTATATTGGAAATAACTTTATTAAAGAAACCATTGAGCTTTTTACACAAGTCATTAAAATCATGAGAATGCACTGGGGCATTTGGTGTTCTACCTTCTTAGCCACTGAGCCAGAGGAAGCCCTGGTGGCATGCTAAGGGTTCTGTACTTGACCCTGTCCCAGTCAACACTTTTACCAGTGACCTGGACAAAGATGTTTCAAATAAGTGTTCACATAAGGTTGGAGCAATAACTAATACAATACTTCCCAGGTGCATGGGGAAGACCACTCCATTGTCTGCCATCGGGCCTTGTGCTCAGGGTGGGGTCGCCATGGGCTGCTAGGCCTTATTAGTTTCAATATATATAAATAAAATAGAGGGCATGTGGATTGAAATTCCCTAGACCGAAAGACCTCTAAAGAACAGTTCTAATAAAAGGCATTCTTAACTGGACAGAGAATGGACTCAAATGATTGTTCTCAAGCCAGACAGTGTTTTTACATGTGGAATTTTGGTAATCACAATGATTAGAGGTGGCTACTGGTATTTAGAGGGAAGGGCTTAGGGTGCTAAATATCTTGCAATGCACAAGGGACAGTTCCAGTAAAGGAATAGTCTTCCCAAATTTTTGTAATGACCACATTGAGAGACACTGGATTGCAACCAACCAAATATAATTTTTAACAGAAATAAATATAAAATTTTGCATGACTGGACAAGCAATCAATTGCATAAGAATGGGATAGGAGATACGTGTATTACATGCAGTTCATGTAAAAAGATCTGAACCTTTTAGTTGACCACAAGCTCAATGTGAGGCAGCAGGATGAGGAAAGTGCGGAAGGGCCAATGCAACTCTAATTGCAGGATGGCATGCAGATCAGGGGAGCAATAGCCCCAGGGAAGTCTACATCAGTGGCCCTGGACACCACAACATTTTAATGCAGCACAGGTGAACCAAAGCCATCTATTACAGGAAAACTGGTAAGGTACATAAGAAAAGACTGACTGAAAAAAATTGAATAGCTACTTTGCGGGCTCTCATACAAAGGCTGACTGGCAGAGGCAGAAATGCTGAGAGGCAGAAGGGGCAAGGAAGCGGACCTTCCCGATCATCAGCCTTGGCCAACTGCCTTACAGAGGACAGACACTGTCACTTGCAGGCAGGGGCTAGGTAAGACTAAGCAACCTCAAGGGGTGGCTTCCTTCCAGCCTCCTATGATTCTGGCATTTTATGTGATCTAATTCTCAGGAGCCTTCTTTACCTTGGCAGTTGGATACAACTCTCTATTCTTACCTGTTTAGTATATCATCCTGCTTTGAAAAGGAAAAACTGTTTTCTTCTACTCCTACAATTCACTGACTCTAGGTATCCATTCATTTGATACCTAATTTCATATCATGCAACTTCAGATGGAGTTGCACATGAGGAAGAGCTACCAAAGCAAAAGTGAAATTTATTATTTGGAGTCTGACATCCCACAAAAAGGTCATCTTTGTTTTCTTAATTATTAGCTATCCATCCATGTATAAGATGGACATCATGCCTCTCTGATGGCAATATAAAATTAATAGAAATGGCAACTTTTCTATACAGCTTTCATTTAGGCAGACATGTTAATCTGGCATCATGACACTGGCTGACTTAGAGGACTTGTTCTAACACCGATTCACTCACTCATGTTCCAGTAATGCCACTTCAAGTAAGTCTGAAGGCAGTCTTTTATAGAAGAAACCACGATAAAACCTATGTGGTTGGGCTTAAATAATTATCTCAGATTGAGACAAATCATCTATACTGTCAAATGAATTATACAAAGTCTACTTGGCTCGAAACAGTCTCTGCTGAACACCTTTAGTCTCATTTAATAAGTATGAGTGTGTATTAGTGCCTGGTTATTTGTTCTCATTCTATAAAAAGGAATTCACAGATACAAGCCACAAGTGCCAACCTATTAAAGGACCTGAGATAGGCACAAATTTTAATAACCCTTCTGGTCTAACTTAGCTGTTAAGCTATTCCTAGAAAGAATACAGAATTTAAAAACATTATTCATCTGGGATAGATATTATTTCTGTCCTTTACTGAGGTCAAAGATATACACTGGGTCATTCTGGACAAATGTGCTTTCAAGTCTGATATAGAAAAATCTGTCAAGCAGTGGCCCTGTGGTTTAAGCCCTGAAATGTACTGTACATTCAATCCATGTAGCACACACAATAGACCTGAAATCTGAGCTGAGGGTTTAATTCCAATGCTGATAAAGAAAGTACCCAAGTAAATACCATATTTCTTAATCCAGTATAATATCAAGCAGCATATGTGAGTTTCAAAAATACTTAGCAGTTCCTCAGTTGAGTTTTTGTTGAGTTGAATTCAACTCTGGAGGTAAAATTTGCAAAAAAATAATTTCTTTTGGAACAGAAATTTCTGTTCTTTTTGATTTGGTTTTTCTTTTTATTAGTGGGACAGAAATCAGTTCCTCAAATGCAGATCCCAAATCTGGCTCCAGGTTCTCACACTATCCCTTTTTGGCTTAATTCGAGTTCACCCTCTCTAGGGATCTCCTTTAGGTAGGCAGCAGAGTAAAGATCGATCATTTCTGACATTCTGGTCAATAAGCAATCCATTATAAATGTCCTTTTAATCTTAAGCCATTACTTCTGAATAGGTGACAAAGCTTTGGCCAACTGAAATGAAGCCCATTACTACAGGACATATGAGATGAGATTGCAGAAGTGCCATAAGATGGTTTAAGTTGCTTTGAAACCAAGCTTATTCCTCCTTCTGCTTTTGGCTCACTCAACAGCAAAGGTTGCATGATGGTCACCTCAAATATTATATATTGTCCATTAAAAAGGAAGCTTTCCAGTGGTCTGTAAGTCTACATCTTTTAAAGTTAAATCTTCCCAGTCACTTAAGTTTGTCAGGAAGGTCACTACCTTGTTCTTACTTTCTCAGTGAATATACTGTAGAGCCCAGTACAATCATTGTCATGTGGAAACTGCTAATTATCTTTGCCTTTAGATCAAAATGATATACAAGTGTGATTGAGAATACAGGCAGACACAAAGGCAACCAAGCTTTTGTGCAGACAGTGCATGTATAGCATGAGTATACAAAGCACAAGGAAAAGAACTGATAGGCTTATTCTGACCCTATGATTTCCAGGAGACATTTCCTTGGGTGCCCTGAGATGAGGATGAAATCACTTGGAGCACGAGGACCTTCATTTTGCCTTGTTCCTCACAGCCTCATAACCTTGTGTTTGAAACTCACTGTCTTCTTCCTCCCCAGAACTAGAGTCTACTTTGACCATACCCACTAGCATCACACCCCTGCAAATACCCCTTCCATTGCCAGGGGATGCTGAGCAGGCTGCATCCAGACAGGCTGGAGGAAGGAGGCCACGGAACCTGCTTTCAGCCTCCAGTGACCTCGTCCCACCTTCTGGCTCACCAAAGAGAACTGGGCATGGGGTGGACTCAGTCTGCTTCGAGTCTGTGTTCCATGGCCCTGAAACTCTTGGGTGACATTATACCTTTTCTTCGCTGCTGATGTTTCGGGTGGAAGTTCTCCAGGTGATAGAGGGAATGGGGTCCCCCGAGGCTTCACAGGTAAGAGTAACCTGTTCCTCCAATTCCATGGCAGTCTGGTTTTCTACATATGTGATTTTGGGTTTTGCTGAAAAGGCAAAAAACATTCCTGTAATGTTTACCTAATATTTTTAGCTTTCCAGGCTTAAATGGTAACATATACCCATGCAACAAAGGTTATCTACTTCCTAAGTATAAGGCTGTATTCTAGGTGGTGAAGCCCCAAAAAGTTTACCATGAAGCAGGCACATGACAATACCCAGGTGACAGTAGTAAAAACAATATCCTGTATAGTAAGAGCGCTAAGTAAGAGCAATGGGTGCAGGAGGCACGGAGCAGAGGAAGAGCACTCCTCCACACAGCTTTTGGGGTAGGCTGTGAGATTTTCAGTCAGTGAAACTTTGAGGTGGAGATAAAGGCATCGCAAAGGTAGAAAACTGTTTGAATAAAAGCAACAAAGCAGGACTATGTGAAGAGAGGGTTGGGAAGAGAGCCATGTATGTGCACCAAAGCAGAGGGAGACAAGGTTGGATCCTGGCAGACAGAGTCTTGATTTCAGTTAAAGCTTGGGCTTGAATTTTATCCTGTGGCAGGTGGAGGCCCACTGACAGTGTTTGATCCGAGGGAATGAAGTGATCACTTGTCTTACAAGAAGGTTAATCTAGAAAAAATTCAAGGTGATTTAACAAGGAGAAAACCTTGAGGTGGGAAAACCAGTTTGGAAGTTCTGGCAGTGCCCTGATGTACCATGACATTGTCCTGATCGAGGCCATCTCAGGGGGAACAGAAAGGACAGCTTTGACAGAAATGCAAGACAGGTTTTATGGGCAGTGGCAAGTAGGCAGAGGGCAAGAAACAAAGAAGGCATGAGAAGGAGCCAAATGACTGAGATTCATAATGACTGGAAAAGTTGTGTTAGTGTTAACTCCAGTAAGGAAATGTGGCGAGTGAGTTGGGATTGTGGATGGGGCTGGGATGGGAAGGAGATGAGCTGAGATGAGTTCATTTTCCAAATGTTTTGGGTAATGCAGTAAAGCACAAGCATTTAAAGCTTAGTTAAATGCTAAAACATTAGAGAAAATTGAATTTTCCCAATTTAAAACAATTATACTCTGAAATTGCTAAACCTTCCATAGAAGGGAAAAAATGACACTGTACAAATACCTTATTTCACTAACAGAGAAAAAAGGTCAGGACAGATAAGCAATAAATAAATAAATAAATATGGATAATTTCTGAAAGAATTGCATTTCCTTTATGTTCAAATTCACAGAGTAACCTCAAGTAGACTAATAAACTACTGCCTATATACATCCTCCAAATTGAAGCCCTTCATTCTGCTTTAATACACAGAGAATAATGATAGAGCTGTGCATTTTCTGTAGAAAATATCTGCTTCTATATAAAGCTACCACGTAGACAAGTGGGCATCTAGGGGGGAAAAAGGAAAAAATAAAACTACCACATAGTTAAAATACTCTCCTAAAGTTAATCTGCACTAATAGCGAGCTTAGCAAACTCTTTATTGCCAGCTAGCACAACGGCACATCTCAGTCCAAGGTGGCCAAATGATGCCAAATTGGGATTGATGGAGTCCTCATGAACAAGGTTTTCCTTTAGGAAGGCTTTGATAAATAGGACTTTGAAAAAACCTACAACTCATATTGGATGAAGTAATGGTTAAATGCTGTAAAGGAGGTTTTAGACAGGTAAAGGAAAAGCTGGATTTCTATCCTGCTAAAATCACAGATTGAAAAGTTAAAAAAAATCATCCAAATAACTGAATCCACTAAAACTGAACAGTTTTTGGGGTGAGGGTTACAGGGATTTATAGGGATTCTGGGCCCTTGAAACCTAGTCAGATGCTGTAACCTGACCCATAGCACTTTGTCCCGGCAGCAAAGGGTTGGCGGAAGACAGAGGACAAGTTAATGTCTATTCATAGTATTTGGTCTTGGAGGCTCCATTTTGCAGATTGTTATAATGGGTGCACTGTATAAGTCCCTAGAAAAAGAAAACTATATTCTTATTAAAAACATTATTAACAATGACTAATTCCGTATGGTCTACAAAGGGCTGTAGGAAGGAAGGTAAGCTTCTCACTGGTTAATTTCTCTGTACTCCAGAAACAAGGCTATTATCAGAACAAACTGAAGGCTTAGAATATGGCCTTGGAAATAGAATAGCAATGTAAGTTATTGTCCAAACTGGAGCACACTTGAGAGTGAAAAGAAGAGCTCTGAATAATTATACTGGGGCAATGGCAAACAGGGACAGACCCAGGGTTACCTTCCTCTGTGTGCCGACATCTAGAGGAATGTGTCCAGGTTTTATCTATGGATGGTAACGCACCATCTTAATTAACCTCTATTGTGAGCCCTTCACTGGATCCCTGTTCTATTCTCCACCTGCCACATGAGGCCTATTGCCTTAGATTGCTCCACTGCCCCTCTCCTCACGGACCCTCCTGTGAGCATGCCTGCTCTCCTCTTCCAATATGTCCACAGTTCTGTCCTGCCACTGAGGGCCAGCCTTATCTACTTTCACCTTAATCCAGGCTTCTGCAAGCCTACTCCAAGAAGGGCTGTGGAGTCCTGCTTCTGTGAACTGAGAGGTTGGACATGACCAGGTACACCTTCCTTCAGCCCCGTTTGTCCTTTGCTGTAACTCACAAGGGCTGCTTTGGTCCTTAGGGATCAGCTAAGCCAGGCTTCTTCCCATTGGTGAACTTTCCTAAGCTCTCTGCAGTGTGAGACCTTAAGAGCATTCATATGAGCATAATAAGAATCTGTGGAGACAAAAATACTTCTTCAGAAAGGCCCATAGGGAGAGGAGCAATTGAAATTCACTGCCAAACTTAAAGGAAGGAGGATGCAACTACTTAGTAAAAAGAACATTTGGCTGATAACTAGGGCAATGTATGCTAAAATGTTTCCCTTTCTTAGGAAAAATGATGTCAGGTGCAATTATGACAGACCCTAATTCAGATACACCCCTAACACACTAATTGCCATCCCTTCTTAAAGCCACAGGAGTTCTGAGAGCTTCTTTATTATCTAAACTATAGGTTTCTTTGCTCCTCTATCCCATTGCTGCTGACTCTGCTGCCACAGGGCACAGGGGAATCTGCTGTATTTCTCCCCCAAGTGGTAGTTGCAGATGGCATGCCAGAGGGGAAGGAGAGGGAGAAAAAGGGTAGGAGAAAGATGAAGCCCTAAGTGGCCGACCCCTCCCCACCTTGTTCCCTCGCCATAATGCCAATCTCCTAAACCAAGTGGGGAGATCAAAGGAGGAGGAGAGAAAGGAGGTCAGGAACATGAATGGAGAGGGAAAGGAGAATCTAAATGGAAGCAAGTTACAAACATTACAGAGGAGGATTCTCATTCTGGAGGGGTTAGATTAGACATGGTCTCTAAGAGTCTATGGTTTCCTTACCTGCATGAGTCTGGCCACCTCACTTGGCTTTGCTCTACTGAGCTGCCTAGTGTACATTCTCCCAGCTGCAGTCTTGGGAAAGAAACTGCAGTAGTAGAGCCAGAGGTAGGGGAGGGGGAGAGACAGGTTCAAGATGAGATGCATAGTGAAGTAGGTGGGTGGGAAGACAAACCCTGCCTTGCCATGGTTCCTATGTCTCACTTACCCTGCCTCATCACCTACTTCCCTGACTTCCCTCACTCCCTTCATTCCAGCATGGCCCCACATGGTTCCTTCCTAGTATAGCTGTGTCCACCAGAGAGGCTGGTGTACACAGAAGAGAAGCCAAGGTCTGTTGTACACAGGAGAGAAGCCAAGGTCTATTCTTGACAGTCAGGTTGGAGCTGAGTGTACTTCTGTAGAGAAACCAAGTTATCCACCTGGTAAAGGAAGAGCGCACTAATTGCACAATGACCAATCATTCTATATGTAATTTAAAATTTTGTATTCATTTTTAATTTTGGAGAGAGGGAAAGGGAGGGACAAAGAGAGGAAGAGAATCATCAATGTGAGAGAGAAATACTGATCAGTTGCCTCTCATATGCCTCTCATATGTACTCTGATGGGAGACCAAACCTGCAACCCAGGCTTATACCCTGTCTAGGAATCAAACCAGAAACCTTTCAGTTTTCAGGATGATGCCAAACCCACTGATCTACACTGGCAGGGCCCATATGTAATTTAGATATAATACGTGTTAATTGGGTTTCATGGAGTAGCAGCTATTACTGATAGCTGAGGGACTGGACTTAAAATCTTGGGCTTGAATCTTAGATTAAGGGTGGGTTTGAATCTCTCTGAGCTCAATTTACTCATTTGTAAAATGGGGATAATAATGAAATCTACCTCATAGGGTTGTATCGAGGATTAAAAGAGCTAATTTATGAATAGTACTTCATATAGTGCTTGGCATATTATAAGTGCTCACTTCTGCTTGGCATTATTATTTTATAAGGCTAATATCTGAAAAAATTTCCTAAAAACAAGTTATGATTATACCTTTCTAGGATCATCTCCCTGCCATATGAATTATACTTAATTGACACAAAACTAGTTGCCATTCCCTCATTTATTCAAATACTACTATCAATAACATGGCAGGCACTGCTCTAGGTGCTAGGGGTACATCTGTGAGTGGAGCAGACACAGGTCCCGATCCACAAGAAGCCTGTGCATGTGTGGCCTGAAATGCTCACCCATCCTTCCTCTTCTGGGAAACTCCTATTTGTTTACTAGCACATCATTGGCAAGGGCTTCTCTAACTTCTGTCATGCAGGACTAGAGGCCCTTTCCTACAAAACACTATGCATATGGCTGTCATGAAGTCATTACAAAGGATAAAAACTTCAGTGTTGACCACCTACATTAGCCTGTGAACCCACTGATGAGAACAGAGTGCATGTTATTCATCCTTGTAACCTTGGTAGTGGCTGAGTCCATACCATGCACTCAAATGTTAATAACTGACACTATCTAAATATTATATCAATAATTTATATGCTTATGTGTTCATCTCTTTGTTGGGCATCTCAGGGTCAAAGGGCTATATCTTACTTATCTCTGTAGTCCCTCTGTCTAGCAATGATGGTGATCAATAAATATTTATTTGTTAAATGAAGAAATAAATGAATAAATCCATGTGTCTTTCCCTATAATATAAAAAATTTACAATTAGTGTGACTGAGGAAGACCAGTCAGAATTAGAGAAAAGACTATCAAGAATATTTTCCAAGAAGTTTAGTTTTCACCTTCAAGTATATACTTCAGTTATATACTGAGTTAATATGAAGCAAGCTCATACAGTGTCTATAAACCCAATTGTTATTATGGAATAAATCGAAGTCACCTGTGATTAGCAAGTCCAGTTGCATATAAATACTTGATTTTCAAAGGTCTGTGTTTACAAACACAGATTGGTTCTCCTGATCAGGCTAGACAAGCAGGTCCTGAGCAGGTCTCCAGGCTCATATGGTAACAGTTTGGAAGCCTCATGCACCAGAGCCCCCTCTCTGACACCTGTTCTGGTAGCACTGTCTACAGTGGACCAGTTTATCTATGGTTTTTAAAAAGATCAGCAGAGAGGTGAAAGCTACTAAGTTAAACATTTCCCCATCACAAATTCTTTTTCCAAAATCAGATAAAAATGTATTTCAATTCTAAATGAATGAAAGTTAACTGAGTTTATTTATAAAGACAAAGTGAGAAGAGATGTGGGGGCCCTTTTCATGACTTTTATGGCACTGTTTCACGTAGGCCAGGGAAGGAAGCAAAGGGAAACAGAGGCACTGGTCACTAATATTTTACCAAGGACCCATGATGAGTCTGGCAGTGTTTAGAGGGCCAGAGATAAGGCAATGTATGTGACAGCCAGCATGCTGCCATCTTGGAGTCTACACTCTTTCTTAGTGGAGGTGAGAGACAAACAATCCCCAAAACAAAGATGTAAATGAGGTCAGTTCAGGTATTGAAAAGTGCAATGAAGATGATACAGTAAGATTAATGGAAGAGATTAGTGGAGGTAGGGGGGTTGGTGGTGATGAGGGTACTGCATTAGGCAGGGCAGTGCAGAGAGGATTCATGGAGAAGGTGGTAGAGTTGAGATCTGAAAGAAGCAGCCAGTTGGGAGCAGATCTGGGGGAGTAATATTCCAAGTGGGAGAAACATTAAGTGCAATGTTCCTGAGGCAGGGGACAAGCCTGGTGTGTCTGAGGGACAGAAAAGAGGCCTGAGGGGTTGGAGAGTTTTAAATGTAGAACAAAGTGGAAGGAAGATGAGGTCAGGAAAGAAGGTGGGCTAGCTCTGGTTTAGTGGTGTGGGCCATGGTAGGGGTTCTAAATTTTATCCTGGTTGCAATAGGAAGTCATGGGAGGATTTATTTATTTATTCATAATTCTTACCAGAGGATATATTTATCGATTTTTAGAGAAAGGAAGGGGGTGAGAGAAACACTGATCAATTGCCTCCTGTATGCACCTCGACTGGGGATTGAACTCACATCCTAGGCATGTGCCCTGACCAGGAATTGAACCTGTGATATTTTAGTGTATGGGATGACACTCCAACCAACTATGTCATCTAGCAGGGGCCGTGGGAGGACTTTAAACATAGGAGTAGCACTTAAGGTCATTCTGGCTACTGTGAGTAGGAGGGGTTGAAGGTAACCTATGGGAGGCAGGAAGACCAGCTGAGAGGTTGTGTCATTGAATATGGGGGCAGGACAGTAGCTTGAACTGGGGCATAGATGGTAGAGCTGCCAAGAATTGGCAGCATTTGGGATAGATTCTGAGGCAGAGTGGACTGACTCACACTGATGGATTGAGTGTGTAGGGGAAGAGGAATTTAGAGACCTTGACCCCCACTGTCCTTACCAAAGACTTTGAGGTGGATGGATGCATCCTGCTCTCCAGCCTTGTTCTCAGCGATGCACACATACTCAGCCTCGTCGTTCTTATCCACCTTCCTGATGGTCAGCTCTGAACTGTCGTCACTGAAGAAGTACTTCTCATCTTCCTCATTCTCTATCTGTTCCCCATCCCTACAGGGTGCAGAATGCAAAGTACCATGATTTTGACCACAGAGATAAGATGTTTATTTTTACCTAGTCTCCATAACATGTAGTCTGAGCCCATGGGAAAGGCTCAGTCCTCACAGAAGGTTAGGACACCAAATTGTATTTCCACGTGTACCTTTGATTCCTCCATCCAAACCTCTGATTCTGTCCTAGGGCTGCACATTGCACCCACAGACATAGCAACAGGGCCTCCAAGGCCACACCTCTCTGCCCCACAAACTGAAGATGAAGGAATCTAATGCACAGGACAGGAGATCCATCCATTCTGCACCGGGAGTTAATAACACTTACAGGCAGTCTATTCCCATTCCCATTCTGCTCAATGCTAACACAGAGCAGACCCTTATGCTGCCCCTTCTCTGCTAGTCCCTGATAAAAGGCAGGAGCCAGTGTCTTACTTTGTCCAGCTCATGGTGGGCTCTGGGAAGCCTTCAGCATCGCACACCAGGGTGACGGACTGGCCGAGGTTGGCGGTGGCATTCACTATGCTTTGCCTGGCCTTGACGGTGGGTGGTACTGAAGGATAGAAGGACTGTCAGGGATGTTGTGAAAACTCAGTGGCCTGGTGAAGAAGCACTTCTAGGGAACCCTAGGTCAAGGGGTCATAGACTGGGGGTCAAGAGTTCTGGCAGCTAGAGTTAGTGTAAGAAATCTAAATTCATGCAGGTACTAAATAATTATTGTAAACTGAATAAATATGCATTAGTGTTTTATAATAATATACAGAGTTGGGCAGAAGTAGGTTTATAGGTGGTATGAATATGCAAAACAGTTTATTCTTATAACATTATTTATTAATTATTGCATTTATTGTCATTATTAAGCTACTGCTGCCCACCCCTATATAATAATATTGATTTTCAGTAATATCACTTTAGAAGCTATATTAATGCATTTTATCCATTTTAAAATGGTAGTCAGTTTTGAGTAGCTATTTACCATTACATATTTTCTCAATCAATGCATACTCACAACTACCATGGTTGGTTGAACTTAATGTTCAAAGTTGAAAGCCCTGGTCCTGGTGATTAAATGGTTAACACCAATTTGAAATGCACCAGCTCACCAAAGAGTGACATTTCTCTGGGGATGTCATAAACAACCCTGTGCACAAACTGTTTTACTGAAGGAATGAGAGGGGGAGAGTTTGGCAAAAACATATATCAATCCAAAACAATATGACCATGATTTACTTATTTTCTCAGTACTGACATTATAATTTCCAGTAAACATCTTGTAAATGTCAGATCGATTCCACGGATGTGTTTATTTGACATTGCAAATTAAAACTAATAAGTCCATGGACCATAATTCTGACTATTCCAAGGCCTGAATTGATTATAGTATTTTCTTTGAATATTGAACCAAGGGACTAACTTCAGAATTACAGTAACATCAAGGACAACAAAGGATGAATGAGAATTCATTATTAAGCACAGAGAAAGTTTCTAGTGTTTCAAGACAATGAAGGACCTTCAAGGTTTACACTAAAAGTCCTCATAGTTAAGGGAGACCCAAAAGGCAAGTAGATTTACAAAAAAAAAAGGAACTAAGCTAGAGTCAATAGGAGGTAGGGGACATTCAACTGAGGTTCATGGGTCTATATTTTATAGAGCAAAGAGGAGGTTAAAGAGAATGATTTGGGGGAACCAAGGTTGTAGGGATGTAGAGAGTAGGAAGAACACATCTCCTCACCATTCACAATGACCTGAATGTCCTTGAAGTTGATCTCCCCCCGTGCCAGGATCCTGCCTTCACAGCGGTAAGTGCCCTCATCAGTTTTTTTGATGTTCCGAATCTGCAGGTAGTTGTTGGACAGGACTATGAATCGGACTAGAAGAGACAAGAGGTAGGTTTATCCAAGGATCAGTTAGAGAACTTGTATCTGTAGGTAGGTCACTGAGCCTTTCCTTTTTCCTAGCTTCAGTCTTATGGGGTGGGGCTTCAAGCTGAAATAAGAAAAGTGTCCCTGGCTCCGACATAGAGCCAAAAGCAAAAGTTTATTATAAATCTATCTTTTTCTTTGGAGAGAAAGTCAAGTTCCTGAATATACAAACTACAGACATATACCCTTTCAGGACCTGGAAACTACATGTGATTCTGGGACACAGGAATCTGAGTTTGGATTGGAATGTCTCAGAGGCTTGCAGAGGTGGAAACTCTAGAGGACCTGGTGGCCCAGGAGAAAAAACAGCTGTCAGGGAATTCAGGTCTCACCATCTTTTTTCAGGATGACATCTCGACCTTTGTGTTTCCAGATGATGGTTGGGGGTAGGGAGCTGACCACATCACACACGATCACGGCATCCTCCCCCTCCCTGAACTCCTGTGGGGTCGGTGCATTCTTGAACATGAGCTTCTCTGGAAAATGAGCAAGAGAAGAGTGAGGAAAAACGGCTGGTCCTCCCACAAAGATCCCTTTTCACTGGAGCCATGTTGCCTGGGTTCGAGTTGCAGACAACTCTTAGTCAATACATATAGTGGTACAAGAGAGGATCCCATCGAGAACTCAGTCAAAGATGCCAGGTAGAGTGGCTGGCCCAAGTAGGGAAATATATCATCAAAGTTTGGCAATTAACATCTATTCACTGAGTGCCAAATTTATCACAATTTGCGTATAAAACATCCATGGAGGTAAAGGGCTATCTTTACCGAGGGTCCTTTGCTATGTGGGACGGTGCCACTAAGATACAATGCAGAGGTAGAATGAAATGGCAAAACCCCTATTCTACCATGAACAGTAGAAGTCATCAATCCTTTCTCTGTCTCTCACTCTGTCTGGTACTCCAACCCCCAACTTTCCTACAGCAGAGAGAATTTTAAAGAATAGAACAGAAAAAAAACCAATAATGGCAATCAATAATGTGGCAATCAATACTGTTCCATTAATTGTCACCCACCACTAGCCATTGGGACAGATGCATGATAAAAAGGTAATGAGATGCCTTTGTCAGACCAGCTTTCAGTGGCAGTTGGAACAGCCTGTTCTGAGTGGCAGAGAGTATTCAAATAATACCCATTGTCCACTCCCCACGGAGCCTTTGGACTCCCTTACCATCAAGGAGAGTGAAATAAGGGGGGACCCTGAACTAGACAATGGTCAGTCAACACTCGAGGAAGGGATAGGGGCACCTATAAAAGCTTTCTGGAAACTGTGTAGTTTGAATTTGGAGAATAGGGGCCAGTGGGAAGTTGCTTTGACCAACGTGGACCCAGGTTGTGAGTTGAGTTGGCCAAGGATCATTTAATAGCATACTGGAGCTCTTAGCTCAATTCAGAAAAGACTTAGGGTGAGGAAAGAATGAAAGAAGCCCTGTCAAGCTCTCAGCTGTTCCTCTATTGCCATCCCACTCTGTCTGCTGCCCACGTGTCTTCCTTGCCAAAGGAGGGGACAGGGATATAGAAGGAGAAGGAGGAGGTTCTTACGGAAGATCTTCACGTTGACCGTGGCCTCCGACTCACTGCCATCCTCGCCAGTGACCACACACTTGTAAATGCCGGCATCGTCAATGTTGGCATTGTAGATGGTGAGGGTGGAAGAAGAGTCATCATTCCATACCACTGAGATCCGCTGCTGGTTCGGGGTGAGCTTTTCTCCATTGGGGGAGAACCAGGAGATATCTTTATCTTTGGCATCCCCTGCCACTAAAGAGGAAGAGATTATTTTCAAAGCACAGAAGATAAAATGACAAAGTCTCCACTAGGGTGACAGTGGGTACTCAGTAAAAGCTATTGAACAAGACATCATTGGGCTGATGATCAGGAAGGGGTGACCATTTACCTTAGAATGTCACTCTGGCTTCTGTATTTGTTATAAACATAACACCACTTATGGTATGTGAAAAGAACTCAACAACTACTTGTGCCAGTATTTCTCATGGTGGTCTTATCCATAGTGAGGGAAAAGAAGAGATATTTGTTGAGGACCTAATGTGTGCCAACCACTCACCTAGGAGTGAACAGCTTCACAGAATACGGATGGGTGAGGGCAAAGGGGGTTAATATATCTAGGATTTGAGCTCAAGTGCTTAGCTGGTTTGAGCCAACTGACTAGCTTGTGTTCGAAGGCTTAGATTATGGGTTCCTAAGTGGAAGATGAGACACTGGCTAGTCTAGGAGTACAGACTTCAAATCATTTAATTTGTGTATCTGCCTGCACAAACTGGCATGACTGCCATTCCAGCACCCCCTGGCACAGACTGAGAAATTCATCTCCATAGATGCTGGGAAGAATATAACCAGAATCACCCATGTGTCCCTTCCTCAGGCACCTTGGAGGGGCAGATGCTGCTGCTTAGCTGCCCCAGACACTGAGCTGAAACAAGGGCTCTTGGGTCCAGTGATGTGGCTTTGTCCTGCCTCTCTGCACGGTGCCTTCTCTGGCTTATACCACCCAACCCTGCACAGATGCTTAGGATGGAAATGAAGCAGTCTTCCTTTCAGGGCCCATCGTGTTGTTAATAAATATTGCTATTTGCAAGACGTGCTGTGGGCTCCATGGCTGCATCTCCAGATCACTTAAATTGCTGTAATGAAGGAAAAGCTGGGGTGAACACATCTGGTGGCTACGGGCCACTTTATCCAACACAACTCATGATAGCATTTCAAGGTTCCTCCCTGATCAAAGTTGCTTGATAAACGTCTCAGTATATATCGAGCTTAGTTCCTTCCTGGTTCTCCCATATTCCGAATTCTAGTCACGTCGCTTACAGAAAATTTGAAGCCTGATTTGAGGTCTTACCCTCTGTAGGACATTTCCCAGTAATTATCTAAGCTGTGGAAATGGGGCATAATTTCTCAAGAAAAAACAAGGACATGAAGTCCGACAAATCCTAGAGTTCTGGTTGGGACAATGGGACAGAGTATTGGAATTCACAATAGACCTGGAAACCCAGAACACATATCCTCATAGAAAAGAAATACAACTACTCAGTTTTCTCTCAGGAAAGTTTCTGAGCTTGGATTTCCACATTCTGGGGGAAAGCACCATTTCTGGGGGAATGACCATTTCATTGTCATTTATAGAACTCTGGCTGTGCACAGAGCAGGGGTGGGAGACGACTCACTATTCTGGGACTTGCGCTGACTTTCCCAAGAACATCCCTAGAGCTCCTCCACCACCAAGAAGTTCAGATGACACATTTCACTTCGAGAGAGGAAAGAAGGAAGAGGGTCTGGGAGCTTCACTTGCTCTCAAGTCGCACTGTTGGCCCTGCAGAAAGCAACGCCTTTGGCTACTCCTCTGCTGGAGTGTGGGGCCTGAAATGCAGTGCAGCCGGGGATACTTGCCTTGGCATAAGAAGAATTTGGACTCTCCAACGCTGATTTCCCCTTGGCTAGGTACAATATCCACCTGCAGAGACACTGAAAAAGACAAAGTCCAGTTTAAACACATGTTCAAATTCTTGAGAATGAAACCAAGAGCTTTCATTTAAAAGTGGGGTCTCCCCCTCACTTTAAGAGCAAACACACACGGAGGTTGTTTGGGTTTTAAGAACTGGTCACCACTGAAGAATTCATGGTCCTTGTGTCAAATCCAGGAGTGTGCATGGTCAGACCACTCCCTGTGGAGCTGCTCTCCTCTATCAGTGCAGGGTCCCCTGGGAGATCTGGGAAGACCTCTGCACTAAACGTTTCTGACCCCTTGAGAAGGCTGAGGTCCTACTCCAATATGCAGCACTTCTGAGAGTCGTAGAAATATCAGCCCAACCAGTTGTTTTTGGAAATTAATCTGAAGTGTCCCCATCACTGTGTTAAGAGGGAAGCCTGATACTCCAGGACGCTGCACAGGGTGTCCTGCCAACCAGCCATTCCACCAGGCTAAATACTGTGGAGAAGGATTCCATGTGATGATCCAAATAGATTTGGATGCAGGGGATGCCATGTGCTCCCCTTCCCCCATGACTAGAGAAACAACACATCTCTTTCCGTAGCAGGAGCCAGCACTGAATATCATCACCACAATTAGTCAGACACCCTCTAGGATGCTGTGGTCTATGCCCTGTGGAAATTCCCTGTCCCTTGGCTACTTGCACTGAACTTGTATTTGAATATCCACACGCTCTGTCATTCCACTCTGCTGATAAGACAAAATACAGTGCATTGGATCTCACAGATTCCTGTGTTCATTCAATTCCTTGTTTATCTGCTCAGAATACACAACCATTCCTCAGGAAAATACAGTTTTAGGGCAGAAAAACGATGCTTTCATTCATTTGGATTCAACTTCATTTGTCCTCTTGTCCTCTTAGGTAAAGTAAATCAGAGAGCTAAAGGCTAACAGACATTTGGTTCAATGCATGTAGCTTTGTAAAGCTGACAGGAGAGAGGGGCCTGGAGAAAACAGGCCGGGTAATAGAGACTCAGTGAGCCTTGCTTTGGAACAGCCATTTTCTCTTCCCAGCAGAACAGAGGGAATGCCGGTTGCCATGGTGACTGACGTGGAGGCAGGGCTGCTCAGGTCTCAGTCTGCACTCCTTTGATGAAGGGGCAACAGTTGTGCGCAGCAGAACAGATGGATCAAAAGGCCCGAGTGGGGCTTATGAAGGGGTGGAATGGGGCACCTCAGCTATTGGGGCTATAGCCTTCCTAACCACCCTACAAACAGACAAAGCAGACCATGGAGAACCCTAAGCAGAGGCAGGAGAGGGAAAGAGATGGCTTGGGGGAGACAGGAATCAAAGAGGGAAGGAGACAGGATAAGGGAGAGGAATCAGGCACAAGGTCCAGGCAGGAAGAGGATGCTGAGCACTCCATGGCCTGAATAAGAGATGGGAACCCAGAGACCTCCAAATACTGGTTTGGAAGAAACATAGTAACAAGGGGAAGCTGGTCTCTCCCTCACTTGATTAGCTGCTTATTACACATTTGGGGCTCAGGACTGGATTCTTCCTGAGAGCAATGAAATATAGTGTCAGATGAGGGCCACTGCATCCATGGCTGAAGTAAGACTGGCTGGGGCTGCTTCTCCCATCACTTGTCTCCTGATGGAGTTAGGTGCCACTCAGTTCTATACTGATGGGGCTGGAAGGCATCTCAGCCATCACCTTGATCCACCCTCCTCATTTTCCAGATGAGAAAACTGAGGTAAAGTCACTTCCTTAAGGTCACTTCTAGTTAGAGCCAGGATGGCCTCAGAGCCCAGGCCACCTGGCTTCCAACTAAGTGTTCTTCCCATTCTGCAACGCTGCTTCTGCAAATACAGTGTAAAATGTCTCCATTTGGGTTAACAAACAATCTGGCCAACCAAAGGAGCAACTGGCCCTCAAGCTCACCATATCCGAATAGGCCAGAGTGAGCCCAGAACTGATAGGGCCCGTCGTATTTTGGGGAGCCCAGTGTCTCACAGAGTGAGCTACATCACAGTGTCATCATCTTAAGGCCAATCAAGACCTGTTCTACCCCTTTCTGTGGCTCACATTCCAAGGTACAGAGGTCTTTGAAACCTAGGAGCTGTGCCTAGGCCATCTGTCATCTAAGTGATCGTCCTTTCTGGGGCTCACTGGGGGTGTTCTTTGAGAATTAGAGGCATGTTTCTGCCAGCAAAGTTCATAAGCCCTAGTGCTGAGCATTGGCAGCCAGTTCACATATGGATCCTGTTACTCTCACAGAACCATTACTGCTTTAGAAGGATATTCTTATTCCAAGTCAAAAAACAGTCTTCATTTACTCAGCTCTTTTCAAACAGAACATGACTCTCAGGGGGCGGGAGAACATGGCAAGGCTGAAGAGTTTTCATACCCATCTGTGGCCAGTAACTATCTCTGGGCTGTGGAGAGAAATGAGAAAGGAGAATTTCAAAGGGATTTCCCCCTTAACCAGACCCCATGCACACATTTGTCATCACAGATCTTTTTTAAAGAACAGAAATCCATTTAAAGACTCTGACCTTTTGCACATATGGAAAAGATAGTGAGATTCCTCTTTCAAAACGGCAGAGTTAAAGCTGGGCCAGATGAACCCCAGACTCTGAAAATCAATGCTTGGATGTTTTCCATATAGCACAATGGTTGGTTATTCTTCCCCTAATGCAAAACCTTGAGTTATTAGGTTTAATAATGGTAAGTGGAACTCCAGCTCCAAATTACAAACTCCTTTCCTCTACTTCCCTTTTTACTCCATTAGTTCTTTCATTGTTTCCAATAAAATTCTTAACTTGTACCTTTCTTCAGTTGCATGTATAAATAAAATTTCTTAACCAGGTATAACTTATCGGCTACAGAAACTTATGAAAACTCTTCTCCCAGAAAAGTATCTCATCTCCTAGTTTGCATCAACACTGTACATTATCTACCTCATCTTGGATGTGTTCAAAGATGCATCTTACAAACCTAGGTGTTTAGCCCTGGGTGGTACCTGAGGTGGGGCCCAGAGCCTCTCCACTTAGTGTTTTCACTGCCCATCAGTAAGAACTCATCCCCCAAGGCCTCCAGCAGCCACCCCACACTCTCTGGTTTACAAAGACACTTGCTTATTTACTCTGATGTTCACAACAGCTCTGAAATATGATAAGGCTGATATTGTTTCTATTCTGCCAAAGAGGATATTAATGCTCACATAAATGAAATAACTTGCCCAGGGTAACTCAGCTAATGTGTAGTAAAGTGAGATTAAAAGTCATTTAATTCTAATGCATTAGCTTTTCCCCTATCCTCCATGACCAGTAACCTTCTGTTGGCTGCCCACTAAGCTCATTATTATCTATTAGTTACCATTTGCTCTCTTTCCAAACTATGGGCTAGAAAGAGCAGAGTGTACCGAAATCTTACAATCAAGTTGTTGCCATCATTTCTACCCCGGTTAACTATAACTGGCCTCTGCTCACTGATAATCAGAGCATTATAACATCCCTTTTACAGGTGGGGAAATAGAGGCTCAGAGCCAAAATTAATGGTAATGGTGGAGTCAAGATTCAAACCCAGGCTGAATGGAGACCAGAGGTGCACTCGCCTCCCCACACTATTTTGTCGCTTATGAACAGGCATAAACAAGTTCCTGAGAATGGAATGATCCCCCTTTCCTTGTCTTGTTTAAAAAGTAAAATAACCCTGGGGTAGATTTATATGTTTTAATATATGTTTTCTGTTTAGAGATTTAAAAAAAAAATTGATACTATGTTCTGAAAGATAGCCAACTTGTTTATTAGCAAACAGATTCAGCTGTTGACAGAAGTTTTGTAACTCTCAGCTTCCTACCAGAAGCAAGGTATATAGAGTCTTATTTGCTCAAGAAAGGAGAATTAACATCTCAGTTTGTAAAAGATGGTAAAGCACTTAGAATGGGAGGGAATCTTACGAAGGCAAAGCAACGGGGAAAAATTATCCTGACTTCAAAAAGGAGCTCATAGATTTCACTTGAGCCAGCAACTTCTTGCAGCAGTTTGATTTTACTGGTGTTCTTTTTAGATTCTAATGTGCTCGCGCAGGTGGGAACTGAGAGCAGAACATGAACCCGATTTCTCCACGGGCTAATTGAAAATACTTTCTTGTTGAATGGTTATAAAGACACTGGCAGCTGAGGAAGAGAGAGGGCAGATGTGCAGCAGGCCCAGGGCCAATACAGGCACACCTGAGGAAGGTGCCCTGGTCACCAAGGTAAGAGATGGGTGAATTACAGAGGATTAATCTAATCAGTGACTATGCATCAGGTGAGAGAATATTCTAGAACCTATTTAGTAGTGGTTAAGAATTTTTGAAAAAGGCATCAAAGTGTTGCTAAACTTTTATTTTGTTAGCTACTGTTCTAAAAATGAGCCCTAAACATCAGTAAAACTGATTGCTAAAGTCTCTTTCATTTGACATAGCTGTGGGGAATGCAGACGTTTGGGCCAAGAGTATAATAATTTAGGCACCACCCCCCTTGCTTGAAACAATGTTCTCTCATTAGCAAAAATACTCAAGGGAAAATAAAGGGCAACTTCACAGCTAAAGCAACCAATGAAAGAGAGTGACGAAGGCTGAGGACTCCGGGCCAGACTGTTGACATTGAATCTCAGCTGTACCGCTTACTAGCTGTGTAATCTTGGCAGGCCAATTTATTTAACCTCTAGTGCTTCTGTTTCCTTATCTGTAAAATGGGGAAAAACAGAACCCTCCTCATAAGGCTGTTGGAAAGATAAAATACATTAACATATATAAAACATAATAGTGGCCTACATGGAGCAAACATTTTGCACTGTTGTGTGCTATTATTCTTAATAAACTTATATCAACAGCCCTTACCAAATAAATTATATGGTTACTATTTTTGAGGGAAGAAATGTTTCTCTTTATGGTTTAAAATACAGTAACCTTCCCTAATGGTCCAATTGGTGGTCAGGTGGCCTGATGCCACTCCTCACTAATTGGTTTTACCTGCCAGTCAGA